CCCCGGTACGGTAAGAGACGCCGGCTGCGGCGAGGGGTCTCGGAGGCGCAGCGGGGGAAGTGGCCAAGTCCAGCGCTGTCGGCTCTGGCGTGCCTGGGGTCCGGCCCGCAGCGCAGGACCGCGCGCCATCGAGGCAGCGCGAGGAACTGGTTCCTGCGCCTAGGTGGATCGTGTCATCACCGGATGCTAACTCACCTACCCCGTGGACCCACTCGACCCCACACCTCCAGAGGGCAACTGCGTCGGGGACCTGGGCTCAGACACCGCAAAGGTGCAGCCCTGTACGTCTCTGGCAGTGCCGGACACAAGGGCCTGCGGGAGACAGTGGCGGGCTAGCCGGCGGGCAGCCGCCTCGTCCTGGGATGGGGCCCCACCGCGAATGGAAATGCTGGCCCCTGGGAATGGCTAGGGACTTAGGGCATAGCTTCGCGTCAAGAGGGTATTTTCCCCAAACGAAACTGCTTCATTCGTTGGTTGGTTCGTTGGGGCAGCAAAGCCGCCAAAAAGCAGTAGATACCAGCCCGACTTTTTCCGCCTTGGACTCCATGTCCTGCCGCCACCCTCAGAGGTGCCCCAACCCATGGTAGCCTGCTCTCACTGGCACAGGTCGGGCTTTTCTTTCCCCTAAAAGAAAACCCACATACTCTTCGTAAAGTCCGATGAAGTCGTTCTCGCGTCTATCTCCTGGTTAGTTGTTGACACAGAATCCCTGAGCATATATCATTTCTCTAGATCCGGGTCTCCAAATTCTGAAATTGTCCAGTCTCCTGCACTGAGGCTGATTAAGAATGAGGCAAAGCCGTGCTCCCTGAGGCTCACCTCTGACCGCAGTATAGGGCATCTCAGGTTGAAATTCTGGGTCCCAAGATTTTCCTATTTAGGAATTCACCAAAATCTAAGAAAATATTGAACCCAATTTTATGAGAAACAAAGGCTTATATATTCTGTTAGCATCTCCCTGAAAACCACCGTGGCCAGCTAGACAAACCCCAGGTTGTTGTCCAATGATGGAAGATGAGGACTAGGGAAATTGCCCGGTCTACGATAAAGGCAAAAACTACCAGCAGCAGGGGCAGGCCTGGAGAAGAGGGAGAAGACTCCCTGCCCCGCCGGTTCCCCTGTGGCTTTAGGCCTTGGTGCCTCAACCAGAGAGAAAAAGGAGGAGGCTGGGCTTGCAGGTGAGGATGTTTCCTTCCACGGGGGCAATTGATAACGTGGAAGAGCAGAAAACAAAGCCGACCCTCCGCTCCACAGCGAGTGACAACCGCCACCAGTTTCCTAGCCGTCCGATATTCCCTTAGTTCAATGGCTCTCTAGAACCAGAAAGCATGGGAGCAAATGTGAATGAGCACGGGCCTGGAGAGCGAGAGCTGTGCCAGCCACGGAGAGCGCCAAGCCCTACACTTCCATTGTACCTGGTGGCCAGCTGTCTCACCCAGTCAGCATTCCCACACATCTCTGCCCCTCAAGGAAACTTCAATTGGCAGGAACCTTCTGGGAAACTGACAGAATCCAACAAGGTTGATCTGATTTCCACCTGGACTCTATGTGCCTGTCTGTAATTGCTTGTATACCAAAACAAGAACAACAAAACAAAATAAGAGCATTTATTGGGGAGGGGGTATTGGATGGGGCAAAAAGAGGTAGGTGGTCCATGATGCACTCCAAAAACTGGGTTTTCTAGTTTGAACTTCTCCACAGCCTAAGAGGCTTAGGGCTGGAATGTCCCAGAGAGTCACGGATGGCCCTGGGGGCAAGCCATGGCACATTCCTTCTTTCCTTTTTCCTAAAATCTCTTGATTCTAGGGGGACAGATTTTAGGGCAACATACCCACATAGGGACAAACAGATGGCCCCCATGAGAGTCCTCCACTCAGCCTTCGAAAGAATTAAATTACTAAACCATTCTTTTGCCAGATTCTGTTTTGAATAAGCCTAGCTTCAGCAAAGGTCCTGTGTTGACTACTTCAACCCTCCACAGCAGCCCAGGCTCCTCGGGATCACAGTCTCCAAGTTTCTTGAGTCACAGAAAGATTGCCGCTCTGTGCAGGTGGGGAGGAGAGGGGACTGGAGCTCACAGCCCGACTTCAGTGAGCCCCCTCCCTCCCTCCACCGCTCCGGCCCATCTCTAAGTGACCTGGAGGCTGAAACAACAGACTCTCCCATTGAACATGAGAACTGAGATTCAGTGAGAGGTCCAGCCGTGTCCAAGTCACACATCAAACTGAAGGGGACTGCACGTGGAGCCTCTGCTCCGGAAAGACTGTGGCTTCCTATCCCTGTGTGCGCAGGAGCACACCGGAAGCCCCTGCTTAGTCTAGGACAGTGGGGGAGGTGGGGAGGGGGTAAGTGTGCAAGAGCAGAGAACGTATTCAGACCCCGTCCTTCAGCACACCCAGGATGGGGGCACAGCCTCTTGCTGGTCCTTCCCCTGCCCATAACCACTCAGGACGGTTTGAAAACAGACTGCTCTGGCGGTCCCCACCAGTCTTCTGGTGCTTCTTTGGGGCTCAGAGTCTGTGGGGATAGTGGAAAGGTCATCTGAGAGGGTCTGAAGACCTTTCCACCCACTTGGCAAACCTTGAGATCTCCAAATAAAAGGAGTGCTGTGTCTACCCAGAGCTTGGGCCCAGAGGGGTGCGCAGAGAGAGCTTAGTGCATCCACAGTCCCCATCCTGTAGGACCTGGCTCATAGTACCCATGGGCAGATCATTTCTGTACCCATGCAGAGGTGCACTGTGCTTGTCCACCTTGCCTGACTTTAGTGGGCTTAGACCACACCCCCTTTTACACCAAGCAGCACTCCTGTGTCCAAGGGTACACCGCATCCCACCAGGGTGCCTCCTGGGCGATATTGGGGGACAGCTGCAGTACCTGGATATCTCCTTGAAAGGGGGCGTTTGCTGCCGTGGAACATTCATCCACGAAGTGGGGTAAACAGTGAAGCTGAGGGAACTACTTACTGGGCAACCATGCTTTCCCCATGCACCTCTTCCTCTGGTCAAGCTGATTTCAACCTGGCCGCGATGAGCACCACTTGCCAGGAGAAACCAAGAGTCCCTGGGAAGCATACTCCTCCATCTTTGCCTAGATTCTGCCTCCTGCACTCCAACAGGGAAAATGGGTCAGGCCCTAAGGAGCTGGGCACCTTGGAGCAAGGCCAAGGCAGTAAGAGGCAATCTTGGTCCCACCCTGCATGTCTGCCCTTGCCCCCACAGTTCTCACCAAGGAACCCAGCCCGGTTCCCTCGGGAGGTGCAGAAGGCAGGAGGAGGGTCAAAGGCCGAGCCTTGCACGTCCCCACTAACACACTGGCACCTGTAGGACCAGTCCATAATGACTGCGGAGATGAAGATGCCCTGGGCTCTGGGCCCTGAGCCTAGAGAACAGGGAAGTGCTTCTCCCCCGGGGCTTCAGTCCCACCTACCAGGGCTCCCACCCCACCAGTGGCTGGTTCAGGGAGAGATCTGCAGGTGAGGCCCAGAGGCAGCCTGGAGGTCTCCCTGTGGCCGGAGAAGCAGGTCAGGGCTACCTCCGTTGTGACCTGTTTACTCAAGACGCTGAGGTCCCTGGGCCAGTTAACAATTGTTGGATAAAATCCTTGGACAAACTTCATTGAACCTTGAGGACTTCTGGGGGGAATCACTCTTGGGAGCCTAGAGGGTAAAGTCTTTGCTTGGGGAGAGGGAAGCTCTGGAGCTACAGTTTCCTAGCACAGTGTCGGAGACTAGAAACTTCCTGGGCTCTCAGCCCGGGGTCTGGAGACAGCAGTCACCTGGCCTACCAGGCCTGTGCCCGAAGCCCTGGGAAGTCAGAAAGCAGGGCAGAGGCTGGCAAGGCCTACCCTGTGGCTGCCAAATCCTGATCGTTGGAGGTGCAAAACAAAGGGGGGGAGGAGGAAAAGGTAATGGGCCTGACCGGGCTCTTGGGGTCTCCAGCCCCACTCACCACGGCCTAGGGCCAACAGAAACGTTTCGTCTGATTAGAAGCCATCATTTCTATCCCAATCCCGGAAAATTGACTGCGGTGCAGAGGAAGGCCTGAGAGCAGCCTTAGGGGAGAGTGTCCAAGCTAATTAGAAGACAGCATCCGGGGGCCCATTAGAGCTCGCCGGCTGCTGTCACTCAACCGGCCCGAGTTCCTGGGAGAAGAGACTGGGGAAGGAGGGGCCGGCGGCCCCTCGAGGACACCGCTGGGAGCTGCGGGAACCGGGAACCGGCCCTTGGCTCGGCCCCCGCCCTGGCGCTGGCTCAGAGGCGCCGGCTCAGAGCGATCCTGCTCCGCGAACCTTCACTCATCCTAGGTTGTTCTCGCCAGCGCCTGGGGACTTCGAAGCGGCCCAGACAGGAGTTGACTCTCAGCGACGAAACAAGTCATTTGGGGGCCCCAAGGTGGGCACCAGCCGCGCGGGACTCGCAGGCCAGATGCGTTTCTTTTGTGCGGCCGAGGGAGAAGTCGGTGTGTCACCGGGGAAGGAGGGAGAGGCGCGGTGAGGCCACGGGGGGGGGGGGGGGGGGGGGGGCCGGGAGGGAGGGAGAGAAGGAGGGAGGGCGGCGGAGAGGGCGCGGCGCGAGCGACTCGGAGCTGGATTCCGCCCGCGCTCGCTCGCTCGCTCCCCTGCACGCTCGCGCCCTCCCTCCTTCTCTCCCAGCCCCCTCCCACCCAGGCCCACCCCACCCACCACCCCTGGCGCAGGGACTGCTGGAACCTGGCGGCGCGCGCTGTCGTTTTCAGACAGACTCTGCGGGCTCCGTCCCCAGCCTTAGAAACCGGCCTCGAATCCGGAGTGGGGGCCCGGGCCGGCCGGGCGGCTGAGGCCGGAGCAGCCGGAGCGCGTGGCGGAGCACGG